GAGAGAGCTCGGCTTAACGTTCTAAGACCGTATATACGCTCGGGAGTTAGAAATAGTAAATAGTACGACCGCGGCCGCCGGTAAAATAACCTAGATCTACTACTTATCTATTACTATCGGCCTATATACCGAATATATGGTATTTTTCCTTACGAAACTCCCGAAGACTTACCCCGTTATTCTTAGTCTTCCTTAGCTTAAAAAGTATAACCCGGTTATCGACTAGGCCTTTAAATCTCTTTCCTTTACGAGTAAGCATTACGCTAAATACTGCTTTAACGAATCTAGTTTTACCTCCGATACTCCCTAAGATCGTACCGTATTCGCTATTAGCGCGGCTACCTTCTCGCGTCTTACTCGCGATAAACGTACTTATATTTTCGCTATAATAATATAGGATATCGAGAAGGCTATCCGAAAGTTCGACGAAGAACTAACGGATTTAAGAACGAAACTACCGAAGGAGTATTAGTACCGACTCTACTAGTTTTCGAAGAAGAACGCCGATATTCTACTATCGTACCGGCTAGGTATCGACTATAAAATCGAGCTAATCGACGGTAAGCGGCCGCCGTACGGTCCTTTCTACTCGATATCTCGAGATAAGCTCCTCGTACTAAAGAAATACCTAGAAGACAACTTATAAAAGGGCTCTATCCGCCCTAGTTCCTCCGAAGCGGCCGTACTAGTTATATTTGCCCGGAAACCTAGCGGAGGTCTCCGCTTCTACGTAGACTACCGGGGCCTTAACGCGTTAACGAAAAAGAACTACTACCTAATTCCTTTCTTAAACGAAACGCTCGAACGTCTTTCGAAAGCTCGCTAGTTTACTAAGCTCGACGTAATCGCCGCCTTTAACGCAATCCGTATTACCGAAGGAGACGAATAGTTAATAGCCTTCCGAACCCGTTACGGCCTTTTTAAATACCTAGTCTTACCGTTCGGGCTCTATAACGGACCTAGTACGTTCTAATTATATATTAATAATACGCTTAAAGAATTCCTAGACGCCTTCGTCTCGGTATATATAGACGATATCCTAATTTATAGCAAAACGAAAGCGGAATACTACGAATATATCGAAAAGGTACTTTAGAAACTCGTAGAAGCTAGACGATATATCGATATCGATAAGTACGAATTCTATAAGTAAGAGGTAAAATTCCTCGGCCTTATTATCTCTTTAGAAGGTATTCGAATAGATCCCGGTAAGATCGAAGCCGTTCTAAACTAGGGAGTACTACGAAACGTAAAAGAAGTCTAGGGCTTCCTCGGTTTCGCTAACTTCTACTAGAGATTTATACGGAATTTTAGCGGAATCGCCCGTCTACTTATAGTACTTACGCGGAAAGACGTTAAATTTAAATAGTCTCCGGCCTATTAAGAAGCCTTCGACTAGTTACGGTAAAGTTTTACGACCGTACCGATCCTATAGTACTTCGACTTTAATAAAGAAACGCGCCTAGAAACCGATACTTCCGACGGTATAACTAGCGCCGTTCTCCTTTAACGAACGACCCTAGAAGATACGTAGCTACCTATAGCCTACCTTTCTAAGAAAATGTCCTCTATAGAATATAATTACGATATCTACGATAAGGAGCTCCTCGTAATCGTTAAGGCTTTCGAAGAGTAGCGTCTAGAACTCGAAGGTTCTAAGTTACCGATCTAGGTTAGCTTAGATTATAAGAACCTTATCTACTTTCTTAAGAGCAAAATCCTTAGCCGTAGGTAGGTACGCTAGAGTAAGTTTCTTTCCCGGTTTAACTTCGTTATTTAGTATACGCCCGGTAAAGTAAACTTATAGGCCGACGTACTTACGAGGCGTAACGGAGACTCGCCTTTAGATCGAGGTCCGTAGCGTAAAGAGTAGTCTATCCTTAAAGAGTATAACCTTAGC